ATGTTATAAATTCTTACAATGTGGTTAAAAATAAAAGCATCTGATGCGATATGTGCCTTATTGTCAGCTTTATTTTTCTCTTCATATTGAATTTAAATAATAATAATAGTATGTGAGGCAGCGTGGTGGAATCAGGCTCTCGTCAACTTTGGGGCATATAGAGTTATTGGTGTCATCTTAAAGCTTGTTCACTTGTCTTTATTTGGATGGGAAAATATCCATTTATCTTAAATACAAGTCGAGATATTTGCTAAAAAAGGAGGTGAGTGTCACCTGTTTTTAGAGGTAAAATTAGTGAGAAAATGTCTACCAAAGATTAGTTATTTCCTTAGCTTAAGAGTCTGTGGTAACTGAAAATTGACATGTTTGTGCCTGTAATCAACGTTTTTCAGAAAATCTACACAGAAATGAGTTCTTTAATGGGCATGAAAGGTGTTGAGCCCAAAAACAAAAATTTGATAAAAATTCACAAACCAGCGGAAAAATGCAAGTTTCTTTCTTCACTTTGATTATTTTGACGAGAGCCTAATTCCACCACGCTGCCTCACATATATAATTTGAGATCTATGTATACCCACAGGTGACTTGACCATTACTGTACAGCCAAGAAAGATTTCCCACTGGCACAATAAAGTATCATTTATCTTATCTCATCTTATCCAGCTAAGGATTTGGGCAGGGGGGGGGGGATTCACCACAGAATGCTTACGTCGACCAGCAAAGCACAGATTTCTTAGATATGTACACTACAGTGCAGGGAAAAGATTGGTCTTTCAGTAGTTAAGCCAATGCGAAAGTTGTTTGTTTATTTTAATTGCAATTTCCGGTGATTCTAATGTGTGCTTTGTTTTACGTACAGCTTCTTTTGTCGCTTTATCAATTCGCCTGCTATCGGAATAAAGAGGGTGACTTTCCCTTTTTTATGTTCTAAATATTCTTTCATTTCCGTGTCTTCTGGTCAACGGGTTTGCGTTTAACGGGTTTGCGTTTGAAAAACCTTACCCTCTGAAAATCTTCGTGACCAAATGCGCCTGACGCTCCGAACACCCAAAGACCCTGTTGTCGTTTTCAACATGATTATTATTAATTGATTATTGCCCTCACTGTAAAAAAAATAAATAAATAAATAAATAAATAAATAAATAAATAAATAAATAAATAAATACATATTCTGAAAGACGAAATACGTCTGACCACATATGTAAATTTCCTTTTATGTTTCAACACTATTTACTGAGACAAAAATGGCACGAATTTGACACGATATCGACTCTTCGCCTCGCTCGCTCGCTCGCGCGCACTTTTTCAGTGCGCAAACACGCATAGGCTCTCGGACTCGCAACCGTAAGGTCGTGGGTTCGAATCCCGTCAGGGGCCCGACGTTGTGTCCTTGGGAAAGGCACTTTACACTTATTTTCCTCACTTCACCCAGGTGGGAATGGGTACCCGGCTATAGACAGCGAAAGATCTTGTCAGTTTGTTAGTGTTTGAGCGCTTAATCGGCTGCTCGCACTGTATGCTTCCCGGGAAGCTGAGAATGTTTCGGAGTGCTCTATGGTCTGCTGGGGTAATAATATAGTGTAAAGCGCATAGAGCCTGCTGTTGAGCGGGGATATGCGCTATACAAATGCTATCTATTATTATTATTATTATTATTGTTGGCCAGTATACATACATAATAGTCTATTATCTATTTGTGGTGGCCGAATTTTTATATTCAAAAGACTTTTTAATGGCTGCATCGATCGACATGCAGTCTTCACCAAAAGATTCTTTAAAATATCATCCAGATCATGACGCCCTTAATTTTTTTCAGTTTTGAGACTGTTTTGCTGCAAAAAGCTAAATTTCTTCATTTCGCCAAGCGCTTTTGTAGGCCGACGCTTCTGTCTCTGCAATTTTAGAAAATCCGGTGCGGAAGTGATATTTTGCGAGGCACGTTTTGTTTTGAGAGTATTGATCTAGATCTAGACCTTCTAATTTTTTGTATCTCTCAAGATTTATTGCTCCATTCCAGTAGAGTGAAATTAATATAGTAGGCCAATGACTTTCAGTTGATGTTAATGCACCGATCATTCCTTTCATCGAAAGGGGACCCAGCGAGTTATATATTATACATGAGTGTGTTTTGTGTGTTTGTGTGTGTGTGTGTGTGTGTGTGTGTGTGTGTGTGTGTGTGTGTGTGTGTCCATGTGTGTATATGTGTGTGGTATCAGTAGGCCCTATATTGAACATGTATCCACATAAACCGGGTGTCCTGTCAAAGCAAAAAGTCTAAATGACGTGTATTGGGAGGTGTCAAACGAGTGGGTACGTGCTGACATTATGGCGTACACAGAGCTCGGATTCGTTGTTTGTTTTTTGTTTTCTTTGTTTGGGGGGGTTGTTTTGTTGGGTTTGCTGTTGTTGTTTGTTGTTGTTTTTTTGTTAACGGTTAGTTTTTGAACGACGCGCACGTCATGCGCGGCTACAGCCTAGGCTACACCCACAACGTCTTGCATTGATATAATGAACATGATATTATTTCCACAGGAGGTGAAATCTCTTGATCCCTTATTGACGTGCGCCTTTTCTCTACCCCTCCCCCTCTCTCTCTCTCTTTCTCTCTCTCTCTCTCTCTCTCTCTCTCTCTCTCTCTCTCTCTCTCTTTTTTTTTTTTTTAGTATATCCCCTGTTCAAGTATATTTACATGTCCTTCGTGACTTTTATATTCCCTATGTGTTGCATTTGAGCTTTCTATTCTTATATTTTGACTTTTTAGGACGGTGTTTGTATATTGGATTTCCTTTGTGTAATTTAGTCTTTCTATGTGGCATTTGAAAATCTTAATGTTTATATTTGATCTGAAAAAAAGCTATATTTCATAAACTCGTTTAACTTTCAACCAATAGCTACTTCGTGGAACGTGAATTCATCATTTTTGCACAACACAACAAAGTTTACATAACTCAGTTTTTTTGTGGCGAAAAAAAATGACCCTTTACTTCTGAATGGCGGAGGGTCAGAAGTCAAGAGCGTCTTTTGGTATAACGATGTCTGACAAGCAGGCTCTGTCAGATGGACGGGGTTATTTCCGGCAGTTATTAAAAAATGACATTGACAAATATTTTCTAAATTCAAAGGATCATCGCCGGAGCAATGGGGACCGTGCGTTGAGCTCGAGACCTGATTCAGTACATGGAGAAAAAAGTAGGTGTAGACGACAAGGACAGGGAGAGGGGAGAAGAAACCTAAAACGAAGGGCAGGCGAGAGGAGACATAGCTTATCTTTAAGCAGCCCCATAAAGGATGGACATGGAACGGCTATTTTGGTGAAAGACAGACAGAATTGAACATAAGATTTGAATGTGGAAGAATTGAGGGAAGTACAGGGTATCCAAATTAAAGGTGGAGACATCAGATGGAATGTGTTCAACATCTATGCTGGAAATAACCAGTTGGTTCTTGAGAGGAACTGGAATTTTTTGTGTGATCTTGCAGAGATGCCGGGTGAACGCACAATTATCTGCGGGGACTTTAACGCGAGAGCAGCATAGTGGGGCAACGCAACAGAGAATGGACAAGGAATAGCACTCAGAGAAATACTGTTAGAGATGCCACTGATTTGCATAAACGATGGAAGACCTACAAGACTGGCAACGAGGCCGGGAGATTCGGATGGGGTTATAGATCTGGCTTTGGTGTCATCTGGGGCTACTCTCTACACAAAGAGGGACGTTTTAGGGCAACACGAAAGTGATCACCTTCCATGCATTGTTATGATCGAAAAGGGAAGCCACAGACCACTAAGAAACGAGTGCCGAATGAAAGCTTTTACTTACAAGAAAGACAATGATGCACCGCTAGGAAAGCTACGAAGTAAAGTATCCCGAAAACCGAATATAAATCAGATTGTACAACCACCATGGTGGAACGAGGAATGTGAGGAAGCTTGGAAGAGGAAAAGGCAAGCAGACAAAAAGTGGCAAAAACTTCGCAAGGACAACACCAGTGAGCAACACATCATCCAACAAGCTGCCAAAACAAAGAACAGGCGATGTATGGATTTTAAGGAAATAGCCAAAGAAGCGAAAAAAGAAAGGGGGCAGAAATTTGTCTGGGAAATCGGACAAGACAAAGGTTTACAAAAATTTTAGAAGTTACACAATAGAATAAACAACGGGCACACAGCAAACTCAATGCCGGATATCAAGAGCATTGACGGAATGACTATTCTGAGAGATGATGCAAGCAAAGGAGAAGCCTTTCTTAAAAGATACATCACACAGACTGATCAGGGTGATGCCGAGACAAGGAAAGAGGTATGCCAGAGTTTGAAGGGAATCAGGCAGGAGGAGGGATATGACAACATCATCACCATAGATGTTGTCAAATCTGTGCTAAAAACCAACAACAACACAACGCCAGGTCCAGATGGGATACAGTACAACCATTTTAATGAGCTCAGTGACGAGGAACTGGAAAAAATTGTGGATGACTACAACAGCAGCATCAGGACATCAACCGTACCAGAAGAGTGGCTGCACAGTTATTTAAAACCACTTCCAAAACCTGGCAGGAATAAAAAAGAACTCAACGGGTACCGCATTATCACCATGCAAAATGTGTATGGAAAAGTGCTAGAAAAATGCATGGCAAGAATACTTATGAATGAGCTAGAGAACAATGGGAACCTACCTGAGGAGTTAGGGAGTTACAGACCCAGAAAGGAAACTTGGAAGAACGCAGGGACCTTCGTGTACAATGTATATGAAGGCTTTCAGAGGGGAGAAGTCATTAGAAGAGACCGTGGAAATAGCATTAGATCTGGAATATGCTTACAATCATGTAAATTATGAGAGGCTAATGTGTGCTCTGCTAGATTGTGACGTGAACCCGTGGATTGTTGGGTGGATTGCAGGGGGCAATGCTAGAAAGAAAAGTGGCTTTGCGATGTGGTCAATGGATTTCAAGCCCACAAGTGATAAGACCAGGACTCCCACAGGGCTCACCCTTATTGCCCAAACTGTTCAATGTCTACACTGCTCGTGTTGCAACGCTGAACAGCGTTGGGCCAGGGAGAATACTAACTTTTGCAGATGACATCTTGGCCTACAGGCAAGGACGGGATCGGAAGAAAATGACACGTGAATTACAGCAAGAGGTTAAGAAAATCATGGAGTGGTGTGCTGAATCGACTGCGGTCATCAATCCTTAGAAGGCTGCAGCACTGTGGTGCTCTTTAAACAATGGAATAGTAAAGACAGATGTCCCAGAGCTAACGGTAAATGGACAGAATATTCAAAGATGTCAGAAGATGCGGTATCTGGGAGTGGTTTTCGATCGCTGTTTATCCTTCAAAGATCGCATAGATGGTGTTGTGGAAAGGGCAAAGAAGGGCTTGAATGCAATGAAGGTCATGGCGGCTTCGGGAATGGACCAAAGGCTACTGCTTCTTTTGTATCAGCAGCTGGTCTTGGTAGTAATCGATTATGGGCTCGGAGTATTGACCTTGACAAAAACCCAACTGGACAAGTTGGATCGAGTTCAAAATGAAGCCAAGCGCATCATACTGGGCTGCATCAGGGATACGCCAATTATCTGTATAAGGCATGTATTGGATCTCCTCATGTCAGTGGAAAACAGACACAAAGTGGCTGAGGTCAGGGCCTACATGAGGGTGGCGGCTGATAAACAACACCCACTTCACGAAGCCATTGGAGCAATCAAGGGAAATCGCCTAAAACGAGGAGCTTCTTGGATGGCTGAGGCTGAAAACACCATCAAGGAAGTCTGCCCACTGGAAGATATAACGCGGGGTGAAGAATGGATAAAGATGAATGAGAGACAGCAGGGAGATTTTGAGAAGGTAGTGATTATGCTGAACAGAGAATGTAGAGAGTGGCCGCATGGGGCGACAGATGCTGAGATACGACAACTGATTGAAGAAAACTCACGGCACGGAGATGTGGTTGTATACACGGATGGATCTGTTAAACGAGGGGGGAAATCTGGATGGAGCTTCTCAGCAAGAGTGAGTGGCAGATTGGTGCAGGAATAGCAGAGAGCATACGATTTGACAATATCCAGCATGTGAATGGAGATAGAGGCAATCACTCAGGCTCTCAAATGAGTCACAACAACTCGACAAGCACATGTGGTCTTTATCACAGACTCTCAGAGCACCCTGATGAAGATTGAAAATGGGCACCTTAGAGCTGAATGAACAGAGCTCCTGAAGAAGACAACACTAAAAAAGATCACGTGAATCTTCACCCCGGGCCATGCTGGAGTCAAGGGCAATAAGCGGGCTGATGAGCTCGCTGGGAAAGCAAAACCAGAAGTGAAGCTGTGCCCTGACAGACGTGAAATTGTATGTTCAGTAAAGGAAAAAAGAGAAAAAGAACAAGAAGAGACGGAATACCATCATCTTGAGCGACTTCGTGAGCTTGAAATTGGATGGAGCGCCTGCAGAAGTTCAAGACTTAGTGGGAGGAGCAGAAGGCTATGGAATCAATCATTGCTTGGAACTGTCAGCATCTACACACTTTGAGATGTGCTTCTTCAGGGGACGGAGCGCTTATGGGAATGCCCCTAGTACAGTGATGTCCGTCCTTCACACAAGTAAACAAGTACAAGCAAGTATAGATTACAGCGACTCCAGAACCAAACTGCTTGCATAATTTTAAAGAAGTCTCTCAAAGAGCATATAACACAGATGCTGCTCCCGGTGAAAGCAAGAATTCAGTACAAAATAATTGTTCTTTGCTTTAAATGCGTCAACAACATTGCACTATCATATCGTAGTGACATGGTCATCGAATATATACCATCTCGGTTTTTAAGATCTGCGACGAAAAGACTTTTAAGACCTGTCCTAAGCAAAAGTCAGAGACTCTGAGGGAGAGCTTTTTCACACCCCGCCCCCTCCCTGTGGAACGCTTTACCAGCTCCTGTACGGGAGTCCACCATATATCAAAATTTAAATCAGCACTTAAAACGCATTTGTTTCAGTCCAGCTTCAATCTGTAATTTCCGACATTCCCAATAGAAATATTATTATGCTCTCTCAGTATCTATTATATTCTCTCAGTATCGTTTATTCATGCTGTTCTGTTCTGTAAGAATTTATGACAGTGTGAATTCATCAATGTGTGCGGGGGTGTCTCGGTAAGCTGGAGAGAGAGAGAGAGACAGAGAGAGAGAGAGAGAGAGAGAGAGAGAGAGAGAGAGAGAGAGAGAGAGAGAGAGAGAGAGAGAGAGACAAAGAAAAAAAATAGAGAGAGAGAAAGAGAGACTGAGAGACAAACAGACAGAGACAGAGACAGAGCGAGACCAGTGAGAGAGAGAGGGGGGGGGATTACAAAAGGAGATGTGCGCTGCATATGTTCTTTGTATTATTGCTCAGCGCATTGAGAACTTCTTTTTGTGGAAATGCGCTATATAAATGCAATTTATTATTATTAATGTATTATTTCGGCATGGACTGTGATACGTGTTGGACATACTGTCATTTCATCCAAACTGTCAAGAAGCGTTGCAAACAAAGAGCCCGAACAGGTAAAAACGTTTCGTTTCTTCGGCTGCTGTTTCATGTGGCTCCTGTAGGATTCGTATCAATGTTTTTACCGTTGACCATTCCGTCATTAGTATGATGTGGGGGGTTTTCTTCAAGAATTTTTTAAGGGCGTTGGCCCTGTGAGAAGGTGCTTTGTCGTGCATAAAGATGTCTGCTTTACTGACACCATAACGAAAATAAGGATTCGACATGATGTTCCAGCACTTGCATTCCATTAATTCTCATAAGTGCGGTTTTGTTCCTTCCAGCCTGACTACTTCAAACCATGGCAGTTTCATGGTCTCTGTTCCTCGGTGACAGATAATTATGTCCAAAATCTAATTTCAAAAAGGCAACGCTCAAAAGGGGTTTGTGTTCTACTCGAAACCGAAGGCTTGTAAACAAATAAATGCTAATCAGCATAATTATTATTTAGCGCTGAAGTCCAAGTTCTACGTGGTATTTGTGACTGCTCTGTTTTCCATTGTGTCTTAATAAAACATGGTTTGTTGCAAGACAACAATATACTCCATCCTTTTGACATGCAATAAATGTCCATTCCACCAATGTTAGTACACTCCAATACCAGCGCGAACACATTTTTACGTTTCTTTGATTTCACACAACTATTCCAAGCATGATTTTTAAAGGATAATTTTGAGTGACCATATCTCGGGCGATACTAATCGTAGATGAAAAATTAATAAGTCGTATGATGCAGGATTTATTTAGTTTTAAACTGGTATGCTGCATTGGTGGGCAGTGCAAGGCTTTAAGAGGGAGGGGGAGCTACATCCCCAAAGTCCCGATTCGACTCAATTAATGGAATTTGAATTATAAACATTTTTAACTTCCTCATCCTCTCCTACAACTATTTCATCGCATTAGAACCCCCCAAAACATGATTTCTTCCCACACAGGACATGTTTGTCTCCACCATTTCCTCATAATAAAGTCAATATTTTATTTTTCTTTATCGGCCGTTTTCTCAAAATGCGACTTTTGTATATTATTATATTTTTTTGAATAACTCCACCATTTTTCATCCAATCTTCATGAAAGTTCACAGAATGAAGTGCAGAGGTAATACTAGAAATTGGTATGTTGAATTTTTGATATATGGAATAGATTATTGTTGGTGGTGTCTGGAGTGTGGATTTTCACGGATTTTTTGCAATTTTTGAATACTACCTCAGAAAAAAAATCATTTAAAAAGGTTTAATTCGCTTAGAAAAAAAAACAACTGTCAAATTTTTAGATCTAATGTTTGTTAACACGTATGCAAAAAAATAATTAATTTCCATAAGCAGTAAGTGCGACACAATACAATGTGGTCGCCGTATCCATGGAAACGAAACTTTTTTTTCTCAAATTTGATTGCGGATTCTAAGACTCCTTACTATGCTTGTTATATGTGTGAAATTTGGTAAAATTTGGACCCCTAATAAGCGAGATAGCCTTCAGGTGTAACCCCCCTCCCCCCTATTTAACACTATGACTGGGTGAATACATTTTCAAGTTTCTTTTGGACGCCATTGTATGTTATTTTATATTGAGAGAAAGACAGGCGAACAGACAGCAAGACAGGGACATGATATGAATATATTATTCTGTAATGCAAAGGTATTTTCCTAAGGAGTGTCCCGCAGAGATTGAAAAGATGAATGAAGGCTTATCGAGAACCGAATTTCTATTTATTATGCGCTGAAAAGACGCACGCGAAAGGACAATAACTTTCAATATAAGTGTGCGCCGTTTTCAGCTTTTATATACCTTGACAAGTCGAGAATGGAAGGACCACAACGGTGACATAACGGTATTATTAGAATTACGGTAATGGATAAGAAAATATGTTATTGGATATTAAGGTCAGATCACTTGGGCCAGTTGGGACGCCTAACGTAATGCATGCTTTGAAACAAAATCAAAATGTAAACATTATTTCATGAAAGAGACCTGCCCCGTCAAGATTTTAAGAAATGTTTTCAAAGACGGCATTTCAAGGAGTGTAAGAAAACTGTAAAGTCCTGGAAGACAGTTGTAGGCCAATGCGTGCGTTTTATTGGTAGAGAATGAATGTTGTTTGTATTTTTTGTTGTTGCTGCTATTGTCTGGATGACGTAAGTGTCGTGTGCTTATTGTCCTAGAGACCTGCTTATTGTGAAACCCCATATAAAGTCGAACACAGATCTCCAGAGAGAGAGAGAGAGAGAGAGAGAGAGAGAGAGAGAGAGAGAGAGAGAGAGAGAGAGAGAGAGAGAAGGGGGGGCGGAGCCCGTGCTTATCTGATACAGAGTGATTGAAATGTTGTTACTATATCTATCTGTGACAGAGTGAGGGAGAGAAGTATTGTTGCTATATCTATCTCATCTGTGACAGAGTGAGGGAAGGGTTGTTGCTATATCTATCTGTGACAGAGGGAAGGAAGTGTTGTTGCTATATCTATCTGTGACAGAGTGAGGGAAGTGTTGTTGCTATATCTATCTGTGACAGAGTGTGGAAACCATTTTTGCTACATCTACCTTGTGAGTTCTACTGTGGTTTTCATTGTTAAAAAAAAGAACAGAATGAGAAAAGGCTTTAAAGCCAGATCTATGCAAAACTCGAGTTGGCTCTGCGCCCTTATTTAAAATATTCATTCTAGCAATCTTAAACTGATT